GACCTGTGAAAGTTTCATTGTCACAGGTCGGCTTGAATTATGGGGATGAGTGTTTTTCATTCACCCCATAATTCTCCTTTAAGGGGATAGCTACCTAACCAAAAATGAAAACAAATCCTTTTTGTTATTGGTCCTGACCATAAAAACGAGAAAACAAATGTGCAAAATTAGATGGTCATTTGACTTGCTGAATTTTTTATAGGAGTATAAATTGCCAGTATGGAATGGGAAGTTAGACCTTGTAGCAATGAAGAAAGGCTTTATCCAAAATTGACTGCGCTAGGAAGGTGAATAAAATTAAATTAAAGTACCAGCTGCAACAATGTGTATCAGTGTGATCAGATATGAACTAGTATGTTGCGCTTGGTTGAAATCTCTTACGTGCGATTTTGTTTCAATATTTCATTGTGATAATGTAATCTTTATGTGTTTAAAGATTACATTATCACAATGAAGTATTGAAACAAAATCGCACGTAAGAGATTTCAACCAAGCGCAACATACTAGTTCACAATGGAGAAAGGCTGTTGGTGTTGTAGGTTCTGAGCTTTTCTAGAGCCTCTAGAAACTCCTAACAATTTATTTATAGTGTGGTAGGTTTCAGTGTTTAAAAAAAAAAAAACATCCAATTCTCCTCCAGAACCCTAAACATTTGTAACAAGCCATTCTACGGGTTAGCACGGTGGCTTCCTTAGCTCAGCTTCTACTGCTTGGTCAATTTGGCATCTAAGCTACAATGATATGAGCGAGTTACAGTTGCTATTCATCAAGAACATAATTTATTTGAAGTAGCGGAAAACCACAGCTTTTTGTTTATTTATTGTAAAAAGAAATAAAAATTCTGAGAAAGAAGAAAAAACAAAGCAAAAAAAGATGTGCCTTACTTTTCTGCAGCATACAGGAAAACGAAACCCAAACCTTTGTTGCTGGGTGTGGGAGAGGTGCTGATTAAGCACGCAAAATAACATGAAACTGTTATATAGTTAACCATACCATACCATACCAAACCAAACCAAACCATAGCTAACCAAAAGGGAAATAGATACTTTTAGCTTTTGTTTTTTATTTTTAGTTCTGACCATAACAATAAAAAAAAGAAATGTGCAAAATTGGATGGATGTGTGACTCTTGCTGAATTTTTCATAGGGATTACTAGAAGCCCTAAAAAAATTTGTAACAATTCAATATTAAAAAAAGCATTCAGGTACCTTTAACTATTAACAGCAATGTATCTTATTTGTGTATCACTCGGCTGCAGATCCTCCAATAATCTCTGAATTGGTGCTGACACCGTCCTTCCTTCTGGAGGGGGGCTACTCTTGTTCCCCATGGTCCCTGTGTGTGTTGTAACCTATCCACCACTCCAAGCCCCCCCCCCCCCCCCCCGTGATGGACTACAATCTCATGTTTAGTTTACTCATTTGTATTGAGATTGTAGTCCATCCTGGGAGTGAGCTTGGAGCGGTGACTACTTTATAACACACACAGGGAACATGGGGAAACACAAGTAGCCCCCCTCCAGAAGGAAGGACAGTGTCAGCACCAATTCAGAGAAGATTGTAGGATCTACAGCCGAGTGATACACAGATAAGATAGTTAAGGTACAGGAATGTATTTTTAAGATTTAAAGGAGAACTATGAGTTGAGTGAAAATCACTCCTCTTCATAGTCCAAGCCAATGTGTGACAATGAAACTGTCACACGTCAGCTCTATAGATCAGGAAGTGAACACATACCGTCGCTCACTCACTTCTCGATCATCTCCCTGCAGAGAGTGGTGACTGTTAGTCACAGCTCCCTGCAGGGATTCCCCCCTCCCCTCTCCAATCCTCCATCGCTGAGTGGATGGGGGAGGGGGCGGGTATGGCTGGCTCTGCCTCTAGATTGGCAGAGCCAGCTGTCACTCATGCAGCCGGGTGGATCTCAACAGTATTGTCAGGATCCGTCCCAGATGCGGCGGTCTCAGTATACCGTGAGCTGTAGCTTGCGATATACTGAGCTTTGGGTCACAGGAGGATGCTAGTATATGTCTTCCCGTGACCCTTAAGAGAACTATGGGGAAAAACACCTATCCCATAGTTCTCTTTTAACTCCTGGGCTTAGAGTCACTTTAAATGGTTTTGTAGGTTCTAGGGTTTTCTAGAGCCCTAAAACTCATCACAATTCATGATATGAAGTTGTAGGTTCTGGGTTTTTCCATAAGCCAGTTGACAGTTAACAAAGCCTTTCTGTGGGTTAGCACGGTGGCTTCCATACCTCGACTTCTACTGCTTGTTTTGGTTTGGCATCTAAGCTACAATGATATGAGCAAGTTGCAGTTGCTATACATCAAGAACAATATTTATCTGACATAGCAGAAAACCACAGCCTCTTTTTGTTGTTTTTTTTTTTTAAAGAAATTATAATTCTGAGAAAGAAGGAAAAACAAATGAAAAAAACAAATGTGCCTTACATTGTTCTTCTTCACAATCAACAAAAAAAACCTTGTTACTGGGTGTGAGAGAGGTGCGCTGAGACAAGAGTTTGCACGAACTGTGTTAAGAGAAATGAGTCAGAGCGCATAGTACGAGGAAGAAGAGGAAGTGCTTGCGGCCGGGGCTACGTGGTTTCTTCACTTCTTCTGCTGAAAACCGCCATACTGATGTCTAGAAGAGCTGCGTGTGTGGGAAGGGTCCGACAGCCGAAGTGTGGGAAAGATAAGTGTGAAATGGAGTTGACATGAAACGACTTGAGTCGTTTTTTGATAAAGGGTCAACCCCGTACGGAGTTACATAGTATTTGAGGTTGAGTAAAGACACAGGCCCATCAAGTACAAGCCGTGATTTATTTTTCTTTTTTTCTTGAAGGAATTAGCTTAAATTGCGTCAACATTAATTTTTCTTTCACTTCCATTGAAGTGTAATGTCCCCTTTGGGCAGGCTCATGGATAAATGGTAAAACATATGAATAATGAATAAAGGAAATATTAACACGTACATTTCCCAGATTATTTGTTTACCGTATTTTTCGCTCCATAAGACACACTTTTTTTCCCCCCAAAAGGAGGGGGAAAATGTTCCTGCGTCTTATGGAGCGAATCCCGACGCCCGAGACATGCAGTTTCAGGCGCCGGGCGAGTAGTAGGAGCCACTGCTCGTTTAATACGAGTGATCTAATGAGATCACTCGTATTAAAGCAGAGCAGCGGCGGCGGCGATCAAGTTGAGCAGCAGGAGCCACTGCTCGTTCAATACGAGTGATCTAATGAAATCACTCGTATTAAAACCGAGCAGCGGCGACGATCGAGATCACCATAGAGCAGACGAAGAATAGACGTTCTTCGCCTGCTCTGTGTCATCACTGAGACCGTGGCGCTGTAATCACAGCGCCACCTGTCTCAGCGGTCACTAACTGCAGCTTCTGTCACAGCTTCTTTCATAGAAGCTGTGTCAGAAGCTACAGTCTGTCGAGTGCTCCATAAGGCGCGCCGGACCTCCCTGCGTCCTATGGTCCGGTGCGTCTTATGGACCGCAAAATATGGTACTTCTATTTTGACCATTTATGCAATAAGAAAATGTTCATCGTTTTTTGGGACTTTGTCTTTGGGCTCCATAGTTAAAGGAGTTGTAAAGTCCCAACATATCCTCTCCTATATATGTGTTTCCCCGAAAATGAGACAGTGTCTTATATTTTTTTTGGCTCCAAAAAAACACACTAGGTCTTATTTTCGGGGAAGGTCTTTTTTTTTATGTACAACAATCCAAAGTTAATGCAAATCCAAATTAAATAATCCAAAATGGCAAAGTTAAGAATAGGGTGATCAGGGCAATCAGGGGTGCTGTACCTTTCCAAGAGCATTTTGGCAACCAGAATGAGCGAAGCGCGCTGAGCCCTGTATATATATATATATATATAAATATATATATATTGTAATAGAAATACATAGTAGAGTTGTTTCTGATAATACAATCAAAGCTCACATGACAAATATCCCTTTTATGTAGTGAGTGCTGCCTTCCTGGATTCCCAGTGTGCTTTGCATCTCTTTCCCTGCTGCTTGATGTGATGCAATCTCCATTTCTCAAGACTACATCACCCATCATGCATTGTTTTCAGCAAGCAATGATCATGTTACATTGTTCAGACATTGAGTTGTAGTTCACAAGGCTCTGTGAGAGTGACACCAGGAAGTGCATAGTCACAGGGCTGAGTGAAATGGTGTCGGTGCATTAAGGAAGTCCATCCTGTGGGCATCTTCAATAAGTAAGTTTACAAACTTCTGCATTTATCTTGTTATTGGCAGCGGGATAGAATTTATGGAAATTTAATACAAAAATTGAGATTTATTTTCAGATTCTGACCATAGATACCTTTTAAAGCCAGACAACAAGAAACCTTTTTAATGTCATTTTGGATAGAATGTGGAAGGGTCTAAACTTCTGTCAAGTGCTGCCTGTGTCTGAGATTCCTGCCCTTCTTTCTGGAGGGGGGCTACTTTTGTTCCCCATGGTCCCTGTGTGTGTTGTAAAGTAGTCACCGCTCCAAGCTCGCTCCCATGAAGGACTACAATCTCAATACAAATGAGTAAACTAAACATGAGATTGTAGTCCATTCCGGGGAGTGAGCTTGGAGCGGTGACTACTTTATAACACACACAGGGACCATGGGGAACAGAAGTAGCCCCCCTCCAGAAGGAAGGACAGTGTCAGCACCAATTCAGAGATGATTTGAGGATCTGCAGCCGAGTGATACACAAATAAGATACATTGTTGTTAATAGTTAAGGTACTTGAATGTATTTTGACGATTTAGTTTAGTGTCACTTTAGCACAACACACCAGAACATTAAGGTGTAAATGAGCCCTTGAGGTTCTAGAATAGCTTTGACTATGACTTGGCTGAATTAGAAAGATGTGTATAATATTATAATACAGAAATACTATTACAGTTGTTTTTTTAAAACAATAGTGTATTTACCCTTTAAGTGTTTCTTTTGCCTCATGTCACGTGTTTTGTCTTTCAGGTTTTCACTCGGGGACGCTCGGCGTCCTTTGTACGAGACGGCCGTTCTGGTAGAAGACATTGTGCATACTCAGCTCATCAACCTGGTAAATGAAAATCTCATTACAGTGTTATATATTTGTACTTAGATCTTTTTTTACAGCCTAAGAAGCATCACAACTGTGTTTTGTTGTTTTGTTTCAATTGTAGTAAATCTCTGTGGAGGAAAGTCATTGCTGTACCCACATTATCAGTGATGTTTCTGTATCTAAAAATTACCTTTTGTAGATCAGTAATCTGTACACAGCAACATCATGTTATGTTTTCCAATTATATCAACTTCCCCCTTTCCCTTGCCTAAAGTCACACCGATAGATACTAACAACTTCTATTTGCATAGTATTCTCTTTCCAGTGACAACACTTGTGCAGGGAGTCTATATGACCGAGTAGTCCAATAGGCACCAGAGTAGGACCGATTACACTCTACATTGTAGTAGACCTACCTCCCCTCCCCTACATTTGTTTGTTTTTTTTGCTGTATAAGGCTTTGAATTGAAGGACACTTCTGATGAGGGTTGTGGCTTTTACACACAGACCGCTGCAGTATGTGGTCAGGAAGCAGCATTTTCACTAAGTGACATAGGTGGTTTAAATCTGAACTCCGGCCTTCCCTTCACTCCTGCACAGTTGTACCGGCTCCTTTCAGCATCACATGGGGGCATGGCGCTGTGTTTAGGCTTTTCTTCTCTTTCTATTTAATTTTTTTCTCCGTATCTCTATGGGTTGAACTCGATGGAATTGTGTCTTTTTTCAGCCTGACTAACTATGTAACTATGTGGATATTAACTAGGGCGGTCTACATGCAAATGCAGCCTGTCTAGGAACACCCTTCAAGGCAATTTGATATCTACATAATTTATCCTGCTCCTTAAGCCCCAGTGATGACAGGATGTTTATTATTAGTAGGGATGCACAATTCTTTTGGTATCGAGGACGAGTACCGATATTTTTTTTTTCGGTACTCGCCGATACAGATACCGGAAGTCCCATTAAGGAAGCCGTGTAATGACTCGCCACCTGGCTTCCCGATTAGCAGTGAAGCCGTCCCCATGCTTCTCCTCACTAGGTAACGAGAAAGCATGGAGCCAGCTTTCTGGCCAATCTGGAAGCCGGGTGCCGTGTAATGACACAGGGCCTGGCTTCCTGATTAGCCAGGAAACCAGCTTCATGCTCCCTCGTCACAAGTGTAGAGGGAGCATGAAGCCGGCTTCCTGGCCAATCAGGAAGCCTGGCAGCGTGTAATGACTTGCTGCCCGGCTTCCTGATACCAGAAGTATCAGGTTAGGCATCTGAGCATTTTGCCGCCCAAATACTCGGCAACCGCAGAGAGTATTCCCTACTTATTAGTGTGAAGCAGAGGCAGGGCCATCCCTCCCCTGTATGCTGTCTGAGGCTGTAGAAGGGGCTTGGTGGATGCTGCTGTTAGAGCTTTCCTGGGGGTCGGGGGGCTTTCATGGGGCAGCGTTGGGTGCGGTGGGATGGGTAGGTATGTCAGATCCATGCCTGTCATCAGTAGCACTGTCTGGTCCCTCCCAGCTCATTGACATCACTGGTTTCCAGGAGCGTGGCAGGATGCCAACCAGACCGTCCCACTGGGTTGGAAGCCGGACAGAATGTCACAGGTTGCTAAGAGCTGTAATCTGTGGCCTCTCTTCTGCTGCCGCTGCCCTAATGAGGTGCCGCCAGAAGTGAGCCCCTTAGGCTGCTTCATTATAGGGACACCCCTGAGCATAGGCATGGCTATGGGGACTCCATAGTAGAACCATTAAGGGCCCATATCTCTTTTTTTAATTGCTTTTTGCTAATTAATTTCGTATAAATGATGTAGAAGTTGAATAACTTTATAAACTTTTATTTCATCCAAATCTAGTTATTAGATGTCATAGCTATCTGCATAAATCACTACGTAGCCTGTGCGTCTGGGCCCCATAGCAGTTGCACGATCTGCTTTGGTGAACACCACGCGGTGAAGCATTTTGCAACATTGTAATGACATGTTCTGTATAGCTGTGTGTATTATAAGTTGCATTCTATTTGACAAATGTAGAATTATGCATCCCACTTCGTTCCGTCGTCATCGTCGGGAGCAGGTGATCGAGCGCTGCCGAGCAGATAGCAAATCGCTGCTGGCGGTGGCTGGAACTCGCTGTTTTCCTATGGAGACATGCAGAGCATCCTGTAGGCTGGTGTTTATGTACTGCGCAGATTAAATAAATGAAATATCAGACGTTTTCTTAACCTATAACCTGCGAAGCCTGTGCAGGGAAGTAAAAGACGTTTCTCATGGAGGATTTCTTGTTTGGTGTGACATCTCCCAACCCTAAAGAAGAAGTCTTTCGGAGGGAGAAGAGACGGGACAGAAGGCAGACAAATTGCTTTTCTAACCTATTGCCTCGGGGCTCTAGACATCGCTTTGGTGTAGAGGAAGTGAAAGTGCTTTTAATAACTCATTGTTTTGACCTTTGATTGGGACAAGAGGAAACTCTTAAATCAAATGTGCGTGTGCTGTGCTCCTTCTACAAAGGGCCAGGAGAGAAACGGTCTTCTGTCTAGTCTTATGAGAAAAGCGTCCATTTAGTATTTTCATGCCTTGTTTACGGGGCTCTTATGTGTATAGAATATGATGTAAAATTTGTCAAAATTGTCTCCGAAACTCTTTATTTGATTCACGTAAACAGGCAGCATTATTATTATTATTATTATTATTATACAGGATTTATATAGCGCCAACAGTTTGCGCAGCGCTTTACAATATAAGGAAGTCATTACAATCACAATACAATTCAAGACAAGATGGTAAGGAGGGCCCTGCCCCTGAGGACTTACAGTATTCACCAGGACCAAGCTGGGAGGTTCAACACTCTTTTTGAACACTGTTTAGGGAAATGCGTCAGCCTTTTTTAGATCCTTAAACACATTTAAAAAGTATTTTATTATTCATAAATTATTTATAATTCAAAACTGGAGCAGACAGTTTTTTTATGGCAACCAATCAGCTTCTTTCTTCAGTTTGTTTAGTTAACATTTGAAAATGAAACAGAGAATCTGATTGGTTGCCCTGGGCATATTTTTGAACGTTTTTTTTTTGTAGCTGTCACCAATTTCTAACTTTTTTTTTTTTGTACGCTGAGCTGTGCATGTGTAGCTCACTGCACAGACCCGGCATGCCGGGATGAAGTAACTCCTGTGCACATGAGCAGGAGTAATGTCATCAGGGCACAGCCAATCAGGAGGCCAAAGAACTAGAACCAGTAAGAGGACCGAGCTGAAGATAGAAGCACCGGAGAGGAGGAACACTGCGCTGCAGGGGATCTGTTTGGCAGGTAGGTTTGCCATAATGTACTTATATGCTGTGCATACTACACATTATGTCTACAACCTCCAGGTGGGCTTTTATTTTATTTATTGATGTACCTTTACTTCTGCTTTAAGCATATCACTGACCACCCAATTTATCATTAGCTCATATACAATACTTTCTGGTCTCCCCTTTTTATTCTTCTTTGCTGGTTAATAGTGGTGTGTCAGTGAGGTAAAGATAAGTTTCCGTGGAGCTTATGCCTGTTTATTTTTTCTTTTAAATGAACCTGATGTTTAGTTGATAGAGATGCAAATGCAGTATTATTATAATAATTTTTTCATCTGTATCATAATTCCATTTTCTTTTAATCATAAATCAGCTTTATTATACATGTGCAAGATACAGTAGGACAATAGGCAATGCCTCATATATGTAACAACATCACCAGTACTTGTATGGGATAGGAGGTTTACATCAATTGCATCTCAAGCACTATAACATTAATGGGCTGCCCGTCATAGGAGGGCAGTCATTGTAGGGCTGGAACAACCCTGTCTGGTACAACAAAAAGTGTGAACAGTAAATGACATCATACATAACCAACACTTCTCAGAGTCAGGCACTGCGTGCCACTCCGGTCCTATCCATAATCAAGTAGAAAAGCAACTGCTATGAGTAGATCATGCGTGTATTGATCTGTGTTCCCCCTCACGTCAAGGAACGAGACGGGATATAATACGAGTATGGCAGCAAAGAGAAAGACGAGAGGGAGGGGTAAGCGCTAGGTTATAAGGAGTGACAGGTAAAGAGGGGGGAGCGGGGTCGGCAGAAGGAAAGGAGCGAGGTTCCGTTTTCTTTTAAGTGTGTTGCTGTTAGCAAAAATCCAGCTTTGGGTTGATTTTCAAATTTTCCTTTTGCCCACTGCTGCTTTGTAGATTAAGCTGAAATTTGCACATGCATTTAATTAGTCCGACGGGTGACTCCTCCCCCATGGGAGCTCATTCACACAAGGATTTTTTTCCAGAGGCAGATTCCTGCGGCATGAATCTGCATATAACTGCAACAGGAATTGCGGGTGGCTCCAAATAGCTGTGGGTGCTCAGCATGTCCAAAGCAATAACTGGCTGACATCAGCCTCAGGTGTCCTCCCATGTTCTGAGTAAATAGCAATGAGGATAATGGAATTAAATAAATCCAGAATGTTTTTTTTTTATTGAAGAAGCATGTCACATGTGTTGTATAGCCAACGTTTCGGAACCACGCAGGGTTCCTTCATCAGGGTAGACATAGTCAGGTCACTATAACTACCCTGATGGAGGAACCTTGTGTGGTTCAGAAAGGTTGGCTATATAGCACATGTTACATGCTCCTTCAATAAAAAGAACATTTTGGATTTATTTCATCCCATGAATGCTGGAGGTGATTCTCATTGCTATTTACTCTATATACGCACAGCGCCATCCGTGGACATCACTACAAGCACCACCTTTACTTCTGGTCTCTACTGCTGTACGGTGTGCAGGGGGCATCTTCGTTTATTGCCCATGTTCTGAGGTGATCACACTCTCTGGGATAAGACAAGCATTGTGCATAAGACACTGGACAGTTCTGAATTTCTGGCACGATAAACAGTTTTTTTTTTGCAATTACTTAACAGATGTAAGAACATGTTTGCATTGTTATATTTAACAGACCAGAAGGGAGCAAATAAGAGAAGTTTATTGTTGGGGTGGTGTCCAGAAAC